TCTCAACTACAAACACCTAAGAGCAATATTTGATATGCTAATTAATTATTGAGCATTTGGAAAGTTCGATGAAGGAGCTAGAATGCAGGGAGACATTCAACTTGGGATCAGGAGATTCTTCTACCAACATATCCTAGGGAAGAATTCAATAGCTCTATGATCCTAGTGAAGTATAGGTGATTTTTTTAAGGTAGCTATTCACTTTTTAAACAAATATGTACAAAGCATCCATTTGTTTCTTTGGCAGTGCTGGGGGGCATCAAACCAGGGCTGTGTGCATGCAGGCCAAGAGCTCTGCCACTGAGCTGCGCCGAGCCCAGCCCTTTCAGAGCAGCACTGGGGATCAAGACCTGTTCTAGATGCTAGATCTCCGCGGTGATTAGAGAGACAAAGTCTTTACCAACATTCTGGAGTTCAGAGGCAAGCAGCAAAGAAATAAATGAGTCTGTAACGGCACGTGGAATCCCATGCTGTGAAGATGAGTGGAAGGTGGTAGGCGAAGAGAGCACAGCAGTGAGGGTCTGCTATTTTATTTTTTCATTAGTTTGGTTTTATTTAGTTGTTTATCTATGTATTTTATTGGTGCACTATGATTATACATCATAGTGGGATTCATTATTGTGTATTCATACATGCACACAATTTGATCAGTCTCATTCCCCACTAACTTCCCTTTCCCTGCCCTCCTTCCTACCTCTGATCTGCTTGCTCCACTTTACTGATCTCCCTTTTATTATTATTATTATTATCATTATTATTTTAATTAGTGCACTATAATTGTGTGTGTGTGTGTGTGTGTGTGTGTGTGTGTGTGTATGTGGGGGGAATCCATCATGGTATATCCAGACATGGAATAATGTGGTAGATTTTATTCCCCAGTACTTCCTTAACCCTCTTCTAATCCCTCCCATACCCCCATTTCTTCTACTCTATTGATGGGGCTCTACTATTTTATAAAGCCAATCAAGAACGTTCTCTTTGAAGAGCAGACACCTAAAGAGTGTGAGAGAAAGGAAAGCATATATGCGAGGGAAAAGTGTTTCAGGCAGACAAAACAAAATACGATGTGATTGGTGGGTCTATAAGCTGGAAAGTAAGAAACTTGGATAATGTCACAAAACTCATTATGAAGCCTAAATATAAACTTGGCTGATTCCAAATGCTACACTCCCTATCTCTCCAGAGGATAGTCATCTGGAAAGCTAACATCTAAACATGCTCAATGGCAAGGCCTGTGGCCTCTGTGCACTCGATGGCAAAGGGACTTAACCCTGGGATGGGACTTTTGTTGGAACTGACCAGCTGTGGTTGTGCATTTGTGAATATGATGAGTCCATCACTTCCTATGGTAATCACTGTTCTATAACTTTGATGCTGCTCAGAGGGACGAGAACTGTTGTCTTTGGCGACAGCATTTTTTCAACTTCCATTCATTGTGCTCCAAGCACTGAGCTACATAAATCATCCACATTTCGTTCTTTTGAAACTCATTTTTATTTTTGTTGCTGGCATGGAACTTACAAGTATGGGAACTTCACAGGGCAACAATCTTACCATCTTCTCATGTTTCAGTCCTCCTGGGGTCATGCTTGGATGGCAGTAGATACATAGCAAAGATCTGTTCAATGAAGAAAGCAGAAGTGAAGGAACAAAGTCATTTCTGCAAATTGAACAGCTATTATGTGACAAAACTGGAGTTTGAATTCAGTCTGTGTCATTCCAATGGTTTTAACTCCTGTGCTGCATTGTGAGCAAAACCCAAACATATGAAAACAGTAGAGAGGAAGTCACCTGCCCACTCTGTCCCTGCAGCAAAAATCAAGGGTCTCCTCTTCATGTCTGGCCTCCTCTTGGGCTTTCCAGATTATCACTATGCCAGTTCTCTGTCCTCTATAAGGACATATTGGGGTTGTCAATTATACCTCAATAAAGCTGAAAGTAAAATAAAATAATAAAATAATCAGATTGGCAGGACTAACTCTCATGGAAAAATCAGCCTGCAAGACAATAAATCAGGCAGGGTGGTATCACATTTCATACTGTCTAATCTAGGGCGTGCTAGAACAGCAAATAAAAAACTGCAGTGATAGTTCCCTGTTAGAAACTGAAAATTGTATCAGTCTAAGAATGACCCTCATGCTAGTTTTAATTAGTTTTGCTTAATCCAAATTGCCAATGTTCCATTTTTTAAACACCCACTGTCCAAACAAATAATCCTTTGAATATGTGGAGATGTCTCATTTCTTTCCCTCTTTGCTCCCTTGGCCTCTCCTCCTCTCTTTTCCTCTATTCCCACTCTCCATTCATTTTCTTTTCCTCACGCTTCTGTTCATTTTCTTTCCTTTTCATCCCTTCCCCTATCCCTCTTTCTCTCTTACTTTTTAAAAAATTTCCAAGTATGTTCTTGTAAACTTTCATGTTTTCTGTGGCTTTTGTAAACCCAACTGTACCCACTTTACACATGAGAAAACGAAGGCACTGGAGTCATTACCTAATTTGCATTTGTGAAGATGAAAGAAACCCACAGTTCCTAACTTCAAGCATTTTGTGCTTATGAGTTGTCCACAGGTCCCAAAGCAAAAGCTCAGGTTTAACTGTGGGTACTGATTTACAGTGTAAAATGAGTAATCCTACATTCACTCAAGTCAAGGTGAAAGAAAAATAAAGGCTTGCTGGGAAGTCCTTACTGACTTAGTATTTTAACTTAGGTAGTTTGCTTCACTTTTCATATGTCAGGGAAATAAAAATGATTCTCATACACCAGCGCTTAAAAGGCCCTTTCATAATGATTGAATCATATTTAGAAAAAAAATATCTTGTGGGATCAGATGGTGTGGGTCTCACGGTGGTGGATCAAGACACCAGGACACACAGTGCCTGTCTTTAGGAAGCACTTCCTGTCTACCCTTGAGCAGAGCAGATTAGGTTGGTGCTGTGTTTTTGCCAGTAGGTGGTACTAGCAATTTGTATAGTGTTTGTGAACCTATCCAGATAGGGAAGAAAAGGCATGCTTGGGTTATTTTGTGCAGAAATAAGCTCTTGAGACTCCGTTGTCAACCAAAAACCTTTAGCTGGAAGCATGTCCTTGGGTCCTACGGCCTGCCCACCAGAACACAGTCTCTAGGTGGTTACAATGGAAAAGTTGAAGGGCTTTGGCCTTAGAAAAGATGCAAAAAGGAGGAGCTCATGTCACCGTCATCTCCCTCCAAGTAATTAGGTTACCCATGACTTCTAACCACATATGATAGTTGGTACAGATTCATTTTCTGAAGGACATGCTGTTAAATCAGTTGATACGTTTTTCCAGAAGATGTTCTAATCATGAAGCTGTGTTTGGGAGAAGAGTGGCAAAACAGGCTCACCACTTCAAATTGTTGATCTTGTCCTGGTTCTAACAAAGACTGACCTTCTATACCCTTCGTTCTAGTTGGAGACAATGTCCTTATACAGTTTAGGGAGGTTACAAAAAAAAAAAACTGTTACTTGGCTGGGATACTGAAAGTGGACCATTTCAGGTGCAGAGTAGTTACTTTCCAAATGTGTTTTAATATGAAGCATCTGGGTTGTCAAAAACAGTGTTAATTTATAAGAAGGTGGTTGCAACACCAACTCCAATTAACGTGAATGGTCCCATTATCGCCAAGGGGAGTTAGCGTCATCACCACCGCAGGCTTTCCTCAGCTGCCACCCTCTACATAAAATAAAATAAGAAACGAAACCCAGTCATAGTGAGACTCACTGTTGCCTCGTCTGAAGGCAGAGTCGGGGAATTCGGAGACCAGGACCTGGCTTTTGCAGTTTGAAGAGCTGAGCTGGAAAAAAATAAAAATAAAAGCCCTTGGCCATGAAGACTGTCACTCAAAGTCTCCTTCAATGACTGGGCATAAAAACCCAGGAGAGATAGGTATGCAGAGAGCTGCTGGAGTTTTCATTAGTTACTCTCTAAGCCTTGGCATTAGTTCAGCTATATTATGTCTTTCTTCTTCATGCCTTAATAGAGCTAAGGATTATTTGCTCAGTGCTTGTAAAATTTTCAATCTTGGTCCAGATTAGGATAATACTTCTCTTCTGGTTTTCTTCTGCTGGTGGGTGGGTGGGCAGAGGCATCCTTATTTGCCTATCCGGCAGCACTATTGTGAGTTTTATTTATTGACTGGAAACTTGGCAAGGCTGATATTTTTTCTTGGTAACAAGACACTACTCTCAATTTTTACTTACAAGGCTCCACGGCAACCAGGTGGAACATACATCATTAGCTTACTGAATAATGAATATATTTTAAATCATGACTTAAAGCTGTTCCCTTACAGTATATTAAACCAGAGAACCATTTAATGAAAACCCAGCTTTTTGCAGTAGAATTAACTAAATCAAAACGAGACTTGTTTTGGTCAACTTTATTGAAACGCATTCAACTTTCCAAGAACTAAAAAATCAGCTTCCTGTCTTGACTGCTTGGAATGACTTACTGTCATCTGTTTCAAACATTAAAGGATGTGATTTAATATCAGCAATAAGGCCCCCCCTTCCTCATTTGGCAGGTGTTAATTATTTAAACACTATTCATTTTAATTTGTTTCCAATCACTCTTTTGAGTGATTTGCTTTATGAGTTTCATTATGTGCATTTCTTGCAAGTAAAAAAAACAAAACAAAACAAAAATCAGAAGCAAGTCGGGATGAAGCAGCAAGAGATCTATTGATAGGTGGGGCGAGGCAAGGCTGTATTTCACGTATTATGATCTTCATGATCTCTGCTGATGGAATATAATATACAATACATCATTTTTATCTCCTTTATAATAAAAAGTTGCTCTCGGCACAAAGCCTCAGGTTCCTGCATGCTAATGATCCTGCCTGACTGGAGAAAGCCTTTGCATTTCCTGATCTGTCAATTACGAATGAGCCACAGACATTCAGAATAATTGAAAAATAGAGGAGGGACATTTCTTTTTCCTGCATCATCCTCTTTGTCAATTCTTGCTGTTTGATTCCCTCCAGCTGAACTGGCTCCTGTTGTAAACAGCCCTGGGCTTCCATTTCCCTCCCTTGACGGCTGTCGGGGCTCCGCTGACATGGTGTGGACCTGAGTGTGTGCAGATAGAAAAATCAGCGTCGCGCTGGGCAGAGAAGCTGGTGTTACTGGAGGCCGGCGCTAGTGTAAGTGCCCGATAGAAAACTTTTTCGAGAAGTCTAACGTCTAAATTTGAAAAGCAGAGGGGCAAAGAGAAGGAGAAAGAGCTTTCACGGCCCCTCTGGGAGCGGAGAAATCGACAACCTCAGTTTTGTTTTGTTTTGTTTTGTTTCAGTTGTACACAGCGAAGTAATTTCATCCCAGTGTGAAATGGAAAAGGTGGGTGTTTGTTTAGATTGAGGCCATTCAGTAATGATTTTAACACTCACTGGAATCTCTTAGCCAAAGTATTCCAGGGACAAAGTCTATAATGAATTCTTATCCTCCCAATTAAAGTTTCAGTCCCAATGAAAATGTTACCTGATAGCCCCTTCCTCTGTTTTCAGGTTTTCGGTCTTTGCTCTGTTTTTACCTTCACGATTGGTGGCCTAGTACATCATTTTCCCAGTGAAACGAATTCTTCCTTTGGCAGCCGGCTACAGAGCCAAGTAGGTTGGCCCCCTGGCTTAGAATCAGGTTCATCAGATTCATTCACACTTTGGATTTGAAGACCAGAAGAAACAGTTGGATTTTTGGATGGAATAACTTCATTTCCTCTACTGAGTGGAATAGGGGAGTCGTTAATAGTCTTCATAAAGAAAATGTTAATAAACAAAGGGCCCTAAGTGTTTCCAGCATGACTCAGTTGTCAGTTTACTGCTCTTGAGTTAGCTGTTTCCCAGTCCTCTGAGATCACTTTCATTTTAGTGATGGAGGGATGGCCGGCATGGTGCATGTGGTGGCAGAGGTGTGTCATGTGAAATGTACTTCCTAATGAAAAGCACAATGACCTGGCTTGTCATTCCTTCCCTTGTGTGGATGAGCCGGTGAATACCATGGGTGACTTTGTTAGAAATCAGCACAAGATTTGGCAGGAGTATGGGGTTCACGAAGATGAGGAAGAGGGACAAGAACTGAGGCCTTTGCAAATATTTCAACTTTCCTTCTTCTGTTCATTCATTTATTCAACAAATGTTAACTGAAGGCACACTCTGCACTAGAAGGGACAAGACTTGTTGGAATGAGACAGCTCACAATCTGGTGGATGAGATAAACCTGTGAATAAATAATTAATATGAATGTACTGCATGAGTCATAAATGGAATTTTCCAAAAGCTTTTCTTTTTCATAGAAAAAAGACCAGCTAACTCTTTTGAGAGTTTAGGAAGACTTCCCAGAGGAGATGCTATTTGAGTTAGGTATTGAAACAACAAGGAGGTGTTCATGGTGTAGCAATGGAAATGGGTTGGAGAGACTGAGGCCAAAGGTTATTCTAGGCATAGAGAAGCTTGGGATAGCTCTGGCGAAAATGGGAAAATGGCACAGAGTGCTCAGGGGTTGGAGCAGCACCAAGATGTCCCCAGATGGTGCAAGGTCATGTAAAGTTTTATTTATTTATTTTTCCCCAAAGCATGTGTGATCTTCTAGAAGAATGATTACAGACAAGAGACTTCATGGGAATTGAGTACCAAGGTAACTCTGATGATTGAAGGCAACATATATTCAACAGGGGGAAGATGGGAGTAACTTGAAATAAACCACCAGAGGACATGGCAGGATTTAATCTAAGGCAGTGGCAGTCAGTATTATGTCTAAAACTGGGATGGTCCAAGATTTTACCCTACTTGCAACTAACAAGTCAGTTTGCCCTGGTTTTATATATAAATACTGACAGATGACATAAGTATCCTAGGCTAGAGACAAAGACGGTTTATTACTCACCACAAAAACAACAGCCAGGAGGGGAGGGGGGATAGTAGGGGATAGGAAAGGTAGCAGAATACAACAGTCACTAATAAGCCATTATGTAAAAATGTGAGTATGTAACAGAAGTGAGTCTGTATTATGTATTTGGGGAGTACAAAACCCAATTGAGTCAAATGTATGAAAGATGATATGTCTTGAGCTCTGTAATGTTTT